CTTTCTTCTTTCTTTCTTTCTTTCTTTCTTTCTCTTTCTTTCTTTCTTTCTTTCTTTCTTTTTCTTTCTTTCTTTCTTTCTTTCTTTCTTTCTTTCTTTTTTTTTTTTTTTTTTTTTTTTTTTTTTTTTTTTTTTTTGAGACAGGGTCTTACTATGTAGTTTAGACTGGCCTGGAATTCTTAGTGATCCTCCTGCCTCAGACTCCCAAATGCTGGGATTATAGGTGTGCATCATCACTCCCAGCCAAAATTGCATTTAGCTTTAAACTCATCAGTAGACTAATCAGTGGACAAGTATTACGTTCCTTTGATCCAGTCACCCCTAAAGCCCCACCTATGAGTGAATGAGGCTTTTGGGGGACATCCAGACATAAACCATAGCACATCTCCATCTCCCGTAACAGTGTAGGTTATTCTGTAGTGTCCTGTAGTATTCCCTGTTTCTGAGGCCTCAGTTGATTCTAAGTAAATGGCTTTGGTAACCTTGGGTAACCCAGTGATACTGGGACACTTAGGTGAAGGAGCTGCTCATCCTGTCTGTGACAGCAGAGGTACCCACTTTCCAGGCATGCTGCATTCCACTAGACTGGTGTGCCTGGATTCCAGCGCTACACCAGCCCCAGGGCAGGCACTTCACCCAACTCCATAAACATCGGTGTGGCCAATAGCCTGACCCTGAGCCCACCTGTCAGGACTGGGTTCCTACTTCTGCCCCATCCTTGCAACACAAGGTAATGTTTCTTACCTCGGAGGGTGCCATGAGCATCAAATGAGTTAATACAGAGACCTCAGAGCAGTGCCTGGCATGCGATAAGTGCATGTCTGTGTTGAAAACTAGAACCTGTTTCTTTGGTTTTAAATTTAAAGTGTATATTTGATTCATTTGTGACCATAATGGCATATTGAGGGATTTTGTTATTTCTTGTTTTTAGTTGCTTTAGAACTTCTGGCTTTTGAAAGAATTGGCTCATTTTTGGAGATTTCTACGTTGGTTGGGATGCACCCCCCAATATCTGGGCGCTAGATAATGTTCCAGTCAGAAGCTATAGGACTGAAACTCGGGCCAGTGTGCTATTTCTTGCCTCTCCTGCCTTGCTGCCCCAAGTACATACCCTTTCCCTAGACTGACCCACAAACGGAAGAGCCTGGGCCATCCTCTGAGAAAGCAGGAAATCAAAATCATATAGCCCTTGTATCATTTCTGGAAATCTCAATATTGTGGGCAGTTTCTGGATTTTTTTTCCCCCCTCTTAAGGTTGGATTTATTGAAAGTGACCATCTCCCCAGATTTTTCTTGAATTTCCCTTTTCTGGATCATCTCCCCTAAGTTGACTCAGAACATGTGCTTCTCTCATGGTCTCTTGGAGCACAGCCTCTCTGTAGTCTTGGTGCAGGCTGGGTACTGGACAGAGCCCGATAGGAGGAGTTCACCTCAAGCCCTTCAGGTTAGACAAATCTCATCCTGAGATCTTTTTCTACAGACTTGTGACCTCACTTTGGTGGCTGCTGTTAGGTCAGGCTTAGTCTAATTTTGATACAGTCTAATGGGTCTTTGTATCATACTACAGCCATAATTTCTCCGCATGAGTCTGTACTGGGCACTGCTCTAAATACTATACCTCTGTTTTCCTTATAACCCTTGGAGTAGCTCTTTACAGTACATACTGCTGTGTCTTCTGTGCATGTGAGAACTGTGAGGTCCAGAGGGATCAAGCAATAATTCCAACATCATACAGCTAGAGAGAAGCAGTGCCGGGCTTCCACCTGGAGAGACTGATGGCTGCAGAGATTTTAACCACCATACTGTGCCACCTTTTTGAATTCTGTTCAGATAAGTAGTAGGGCTCTCCAGATCTTGAATGTACTAGGGCAGGTAAGTGAACAGAGATTACACACGCTTTGCCGTGTTCTCCAAAGCAGAGTGAAACTACCTTTGTGTAGGCTACAAATATTTCCTCCTCTGTGACGTCAGAAATCCACATTCCCAGATATGGAAGGTCTTAGAGGCAGAGCCCTCAGGGTGGACATAGAACCTTTCCAGTGCCCACGTGGCTCTTCGGGTAGTAGTGGTCCATCTGATTATACTTATCTCAGTGTGGGAGGAAGTTGGGTATGCCTGATAACCAGTAACTTCCACAGGACCGAGGAAGGTGATAGCGCCTTTCCCAGTGGGAGAGATGATGCCTATGAACTACCCTGGGACCAGGGCTCAGGAGTGAGATGAGAGCTCTCAGAATGAGAGAGAGTAGCATTGCCTCAGAGGAGGTAGGGACAAGGAGTAGTCACTTGCCTTTTCCAGGATTCATGTCAGGGAGCATTTTCCATTCCTGTCAGAGTCCTGGTCTGTGTGGGGACCTCCACAGGAAATGCATAGGAGTTGCCCTGGAAACTTCCAGGAGCTTTTGCGGCAAAGGGGCAATCTTAGGACAGGTGTTGCTGGACACCTAAAAGTTGTGAACCCCAAGGGGAATCTTAGCAGAATGGAGTCAGCAGGCAGAGAGAGAGAGAGAGTCAGGGAGTAGGAGGAGTACAGGCCCCCACCAAGCTGAGGCTGAGCTCCCTGGCAGCCTACTGGGAACACAGGTATGCTGTGTAAGATTTGTGTTTAGCGGATACCCACCTGCTGCTCTAGGCTTCTTAGCACACTGGAGTCTGGGAACCCTGGCACAAAAGTGAGTCTCCCAGAGCTTGAGTCCTGTTTGTTGGGCCCACCTTAGAGGTTCTACTGGCACGTCTCAGGTGGCCCAAGACTGTGGCCTCTATGAAGCCCTATAGCACCCACCATGCTTTGAATTTTGCTGAGAGGAAAGGCAGGAATATAAACCAGCCTAGAGGAGATGTAAGTACCTAAGGGAAGAAGCCAGAGGAAGGGTGCCTATTTGACATGTCTGGAATGTGGATTATTTGAGGAGGATCTGGTTCAGTCTCATGCTGAGTGCTTACATTTGTGTGGTTTAGTAAATGCTTTGTAAGAGCTTGTCCCCCTTTGGGACTTTTTCACCTTCAGGATCCTGTCCTTTGATGTGTAGGTGGGCTGAACTACAAGTTCACCTGCAGGACATTACCCCCAACAGAGACAGATCAAAAGTTTGGGCTTAGGACTCTGGTGAGGGCCCTGAGAGGGGCTTCCTCCCATGTTCTCTCACCTCGGAACAATCAGCCAAGGTCTGGTGCAAACCCAGGATCCTGTGAAGCTGACTTGTTTTTATTTGTTTTCTCCACAAACCCCCAAATACTGCTGCCACAAACTCAAACGCGCACCTCCCTCACACTGGCTGCCCTGTCCACTCTGAAGGTTCCCCTCCCCAGCCTGGCTCTGCTCCCTCATGGTGGTTCAGGATGCCCCATGAGAACATTTAGGAATGAGTGTGTGGTCTCCGGGTAAGCTCCTCCAGGGAGCTGTCTGCGAGTAACACGGCAATTATAGTCATCGTCATCATGCAGAAGCGATTATAGTAACGATGATAGCAAACTGGGTGCAGGCTGCATGCCAGGCAGTTTTTAAACATTTTTATAAGTATAATTTCACTTAGCGTTCCTCAGCTTTATGAGGCAAACATTATGAGCGTTCTTTCCTTGTGTGGAAGCAGGTGCTCACCTTGGGGGAGCTGGAACTGCGTCCTGCGAGGCCTGTCCGAGAGCATCCTGTGGCCTGACCTTGCAGGAGCTACTTCTTTAGCACTCTAAAGCCACTGTGTCATTACTATGTTGTGTATATTTTGCTCATTAAAAACCACATACTTTGTGTAGAAAATATAAGCAGTGGAAACAAAGAGGAAAGTAGTGACAGCCCTGCTCATTGGATTTTGCTGCTGTTGATAGCAGTCCTCACAAGAATGTGCTTAGAGTGAAAAGCCCTGTCTGTGCTTGCTGTGGGGGCAGGCAGGACCCTGAAGCTGTGGGTGGCTCGCTGGAGTGAGCTGTCACCTTGCTCTACTCCCTCTCACCGCCCTGGGGCCCAATGCTGGTCTGAGTAGTCTCACTAGTGACTGAAGTGTCGGTCAGTGTAGGAGACAGCTTTGGGGACACCATTCACACCTTTGAGGGGACCTGGCTCATGGGAGTTTGTCCATGGCTCAGACAATTTCCTCACTGAATGTCTAGGGAACACCATCTTCTTCCTAAGTAGGGTGTGCTGGTACCACTTGACAGGCTACTGGATCACTGGAGGTGAACATTAGGGTGACATAGTAGTTCCCTGGAAGGGATTTGCTCCATGTAGGAATTTTAGGGAAGTGTAATATTCATTTAGGGTTAGGTGTAACTGGACCTAGTTTAGTGGTACTCAGGGCAGAGGCTGCCCTCAGCTGGAAAGAAGGACACCCTGTTAGTGTCCACCCCTGGAACACAAGAGTGACCCACAAGAGGTCACAGAGTGACGTTGGCAGCTCTCCTTGCAGACATGCCTGGCCTTCTTCACTTGTGGACAGAATCCCAGCAGTACTGACTAGGTCCTGGACAAAGGGAGCTGTTCCCTGAACTCATATACTCTCTGTTCTGAGAGCTGCTTCTTGGGGAGTTAGAGACTAATGGATCCTGGAGGCACTGGTACTGCGGCACAGAGACCTCAAATAGCAGCTTCTTGAGTGTCTGGAATATCCCGGGCTTGGTTCTGTGTGCTGAACACACAGGCCTGATAAAGCACACCAAATGGTAGCAGTGGGAAGACTATAAAGAGAAGTAAATGTGGAGAGAAGATCCAATGGCTGGGGCCTGGGTGGTGGACATTACACCAGGGAGCTGACCTGAGCACAGCTCCAAAGGAAATAAGGTGCTAATCAGTGTCTAGGGGAGCATGTCCCCAGGAAAGGGAGTAGCAGGTGAGGTCCATGTGCCTCACCTGAATGGGATAAATAGAGCAAGGCCAGGGACAGTGTGAGGAGCAACCCAGGTCCTCTTCTCACAGTGTGGGGACAAGCCTGGCCCTCTTCCTCCAGTGTGAATGGACAGGGAAATTGGGTCTACACAAACATGCAGCTCCTCGAGGGGCTCGGTGCCCTTCGAATATTCTCCTGGTTGTAGGAGACAGTTCACAGTATACACCCAGGATGATCAGGTGTGGCTGTAATGTCCCTCCTGGCAGTCCAGAGCATTTTCATGTGGGCTGGGTTCAGCCTAGGGATGTGGTCTTTGGCCACTGGAAGCCATGCTAGGTTTGGTCGTCCACATGCAGGTGTGCACGGTGGCTGTATGTGTGGTAAGCTCTGCTGTTCTCACCTCCCGTGGCCTCACCCACCTGTTGTGTCTCAGTGTCTGAAGGAGTGTGCTGCTGTGGAAAGGGTGTTCGGGGCTTTTTGGTTTTTGTTTTGTTATGAGTTTTAAAATTGAGGTGAAGTTTACATAATGTAAAATTGCCATTTTAAACCATCCAGTTTGGTAGCACTTAGTGTACCCCCGATGTTGTGCAAGCAAACCTTCAGTTTTGAAGTGTTTTTCATCACCCCAAGAGGAAACCTGTGCATCAGTCATCACTGCCCCCCACCCCAGCAACCATCAGTGTGTGTACTATCTGCACGTCTACCTCCTGTGCGTGTTTACATTCATGAAGGTTTTGACATTGCCTGTCTTTCTGATTCTTCCTTGGCAGCTTTGAGTAGCCTTCTGTCTGCCTAGTGTTGTATGTCCTCTGCTCTCCCATGTCCTCTGCCATTTCATGCCTTCTGCCTGCCTGGTGTCCTATGCCCTCTGTCTTCCCTATGTCATGTGCCCTCTGCCTTCCCATGGCCTCTGCCTGCCTGCCTGCCTGACAGCCTGTGCCCTCTGTCTTTTCAGCTACCGACTACAGGTCCATTCTGAGCATTAGTGACGAGGCAGCCAGGGTGCAGGCCCTGAACCAGCACCTCAGCACGCGTAGCTATGTCCAGGGGTACTCACTGTCCCAGGCAGACATGGACGTGTTCAGGCAGCTCTCGACCCCTCCCGCTGACTCGAGGCTCTTCCACGTGGCCCGGTGGTTCAGGCACATAGAAGCGCTCCTGGGTGGCCCCCGTGACAAAGGCGAGCCCTGCGGGCTCCAAGCAAGTGAGTAACAGCGGATTCCCCACCATAAGAACCTCTGCTCCAAGGCCAGAGGCTTTCTCCTTCACTCCATGGGTACATGGTACTGCAGGGCCGCAGATGCCCAGTGAGGGCCCCGCCAGTGTCTCAAGCATGCAGCCCCATGGGAGAATACCATGCTTGCTGGGCATGGGTAGGATAGAATTGTGCTCCGTGGAGTTGGTTCTTCAGAACAAAATGTTCTTGTTGTCACTGCAGGCTGCCCATTATAGGGTCACCTGGGGAAAATGTGACCTTCCTGTCTGTAGGCTCCAGCCTTGGGGATGGCTCAGTGAGAGCCTTGTCTGACTCTGAGTTGACTTGGTTCTTTTTCTTTATTCTTTCCATAAGATTGCAGACTTTTTCTCCAAGTGTAGTCATTAAATCCTAAAGCCATATTAATTGGCACTGAAATTTTTAGAAATCAGAAATAAGTTTCATTTCTGTGCCTTGAGACGAGGTCAGCTACATGGCTTTGGCTGAAGCCTGCTGGTGCTGCTTGTGTCCCTGGATAAGGCCAAGTAATCTGGAGGAGGCACTGCTAGAGAGCCCCAGGCCACAGTTTCTGGCGGTTTATCACACTCTGGGAACCCAAGGGTGTATCCTTTGCTGACTGCCAAGGAGCACCTGGCTCCTGTGGCTGTGGGCACACTCCCTCTGTCATATGTTGTGGGATGAGTGCTGTCTTCTCAAAGTCCTCACTGGGGACCTGGAGGATTTCCAGGTATAAAGTGAGGAATTTCGAACATGCCCCAGGGTCTCCACCATAGTCAAGCCTCTGCTAGGTCCCCCTATTTCAGCCTGGGCAGAGAGGGTGCCAAGTCTCCTAGACTCAGAGTGTATCTTGTTTTTCTAGAAAATTTAGCAGCAGGGCTGGCAATTTAGCTCAATGGTTTTGCCACTTGCTCTGTAAGCACAAGGTCCTGAGTTCGATCCCCAGTACCAAAAAAAGAAAATGCAGCAGCAGATACCCTCCTCCAGCAAGTGGAAGGCCTTGCTGTGCAGCTTGTCTCTAGCCCTGAGCAGCACTCCCGCCCGTGTGTCTGTTGTGGTGATCCTGGTGGTGTCTGTGGTGTCGGGTACCTTCTCCAAAAGGCTCAAGGGTCACGTTGTCCCCTCTTCATGCCCCAGCTCCATGGCACAGCAGGGTGATTGAGATCAGGGCAACCTGGGCACCGTTGAGAAGAGAACCTCAGCTTTGGCCTTACAGTGACCTGGATGGCTCCCTTCATGGCCTTAAAAGAACAGTGCAGACACTGCCACTTACCTGGGAGGTGAAGGGGAGCCTTGCTCCTCATGGACCTACTCACCGCAGAGCCCAGCAAGGCTGTTGCCCAATGGTACAGGTTAGTAGAGGGATGGATGGACTGTGGACAGCACTAACAAGATTGTGGTGCCTCCTCCAAAGTCCACATCCCCTGATTACTGAAGCTCTCATGTGTCCAGGAAGGAAGGATATGAGTTAGACCAGTTGGCCTCATTGAGCCAGGGCTGAAGGTGAAGTTTGGGGCTGGAGCCTGGCACTGCTGCTTATTGTCCAGTGGCTTTGGGTGGGGCCCAGACCCTCAGAGTCTACAGTTCTCATCCACACTCCTGGATTGACTGGCTGTGTATCTGCCTCCCTGTAGCTGTAAGAATCAGGGCAGCTGCCCTGTTGCAGATATCTGAACTCCTTTCCAACCCTTCCTTGACATCAAATGGGACAATGGGAGGCCATTCCCCACTGTCTGTTCTGTGCATTGTAGTGTCTTCAGTGCCCTCTGGCCCTGTTTACCTTACTGACTGCTCTTTCTTGCACAGTCCAGCTGTGTCCTTTTTCCAAGTCGAGGTCCTCACCAGCTGAAGGATCCTTCCATACAGGGAAAATCAAGATGACCCTCCTTCACCCTCTCAGCCTTTTCCTGTGAAGCTAGACCCCTTCCTGCCTGCTCTGTCTCTGCTCCTTCTGCCCAGTTCCACCTCATCAGCCTTCACTGGCTGTAGCAGAAGGGCCACCCATTCCTAGGGCCTTGAACCTCTTGGGTGGCCTTCACCCAGGGCTGGGATTCAGTGCAGGAAGGCTTCAGGCCTCCCTTTCACTGAGGAAGGACTCAGGTCTGCCCAACCCAAGACTATGTCTTAGGAAGATGCAAGTTCAGTGTTGCTCCCGAGCAGGTGATGCTCAACTTCGTGATCGAGTGTTTCTCTGCAGGAACTCCCCACCCTTTGTGAGGTTCCTCAGGGGCTGTCAGTGTTCCTGGTGACTTCCCTGTCCCTTTCAGTCTTCCCATATCCTGCTTTGAAGGCCAGGTCTGGTCTGCCGTGCAGAGCTGTTCTGTTTTTTGTGCTGTTTGGTCAGGGACCTGTTTCTCATTGTGTCCACGTGTGCAGATGGTGCCTGGCTGGGTGAAGTGGGATACCTGACTGGGGTGGCAGTGTCTTGGAGGAAACAAAACAAAGTTTGGTACTGGTGAGGGAGGGCATTGATGAGATCGTCGTGTCATAGGGTGTCATGCAGGGGTGGAAGACCCTTGCTAAATGTGAACTCATGACTTTAGAGAGGGGATAGTGATTTGCAAACCAGGCATTGTGTAACCTCTGCCGGTATTTCCCTTTTGCAAATCTGAATTCTGTTTGCCAGATGTCCTTGAGGCCCATCATTAACGGTGGGGCTGGCAGTCTGTAGGGGAGCTGGCATACAGAGCATGGCTGGATATGCCCCAGGATCTCTGGGTGTGCCACTCTGGCACGTACCTGTGTAAGTCTTCCAGACCCACTTTCAGTCCTCAGAATGGCAGCACTCAGCAGCATCCCTGATCATTCAAGAGAGCAGCTGTGTCTCTTTTACAGGGTCTCAATGAGGAGGGAGAACAATAGAACTTTAAAATGTCCATTGAACACTATCAAATTGTAGAATTTCCTTTAAGCAGATTTGATTTTTTTTTTCCCCCAGTATCAGAGATTGAACTCAGGATCTTGTGCTTGCCAGGCAGTTGCTGTGCCACTGAGCTACATCCCCGGTGCCTGAACATTTTTTAAAAATTGTATTTATTGGCTATTTGTACTTCTGAAGAAGTGTCTGTTCGTTTCACTTGCCCATTTTTAATTGGGTCTTGGGGGCGTGTGTGGCACTTTTTAGTTCTTTGTATATTCTACATATTAGTCCTCTGATGAATAGTTGGCAATTTTTTTTTCCTGTTCTGTAAGTTGTCTCTTCACTGTTGTTCCCTTGTGTACAGAAGCTTTTCAACTTAATGTTATCCCATCTCTTGATTCTTGGCACTATTTCTTATGCCATTCAGGTTCTCTGCAGGAAGTCCTTGCCCATGCCTATGTCTTCAAGAGTTTTATTTTATCTTCCAGCTGATTAACTGTTTCTGTCTTAACATTTACATCTTTGATCCAGTTTGATTTTCCCTTCTAAGCATCTTCTCAAAAGAGCTAAGGCCATCATATTACAGTGATATATGCATACCCACGTTTTATAGCACCATAATTCATTATAGTTAAATGTTGGAAGCAGCCTATATGTCCTTCAGTAGGTGAATGGATAAAGAAAATGTGGCATTTATACACACTGGAGTATTGCTCTGCCATTAAGAAGGACAAACTTGTAAGGCAGGCAACGGCACCACTGAGCTAAATCCCCAGCCCATAGATTTGATGATTTAAAGTGAACTTTATGACTGTACTTGACTTTACTGAACACTTGATACTTGATTAAGGACTTGGGATTTTCCACAGTCAGAATCTGTGGCCACCGGTTATCATGCTGGAACTCCCCTGCAGGAAGGAGCTCAGCTTCTGTCAGCTGCCTCCCTCCGTCTCCCCAGTCACAGAGTGCTACCTTCTGTCTTGCTGACCTGCTCGTTATCAGCATCCTCCTACCTGGCTAATGTGGCCTGTGCAAGGGTAGAAACCCAGAAATGGCCTGTGCCCAGAATGGGTGGTAGCTTTTAAGGTGGGATTAGCAGGTGATCTGCTGGCCCTGTTCAGTAGACTCAAGGAGGGTCCGCACGCGTTCTCACCTGTGGGCAGACAGTCTCACCCCCAGCATGAGAGGGAGAGGTGGCAGGGGACAGGAAACAAACTGCCTGGAGAGTAGGGAAGACAGGTAGGAAAATGTGAGCACTGAGACCTGTCCTTGGTGTGGGTCTCCCCTGTGGCTCAGCAGAGGTGAGCAGGGACCTGCCTGGCACCATGCAGGGTTGAAGGTATGTAAGAATCTGTGCTCCGGGTGGCTTGGGGATCTGGTCCACAGGCACACACCATACAGGGAGCGCAGGGTGCGGCTCTGGGAAGGCAGAAGAGAAAAACTGCATTCCCCTGAGGAGGAAGGTGGGTGACTAGCAGAGTGGGCGACAGGAACCTGCCTAGGACAATTGGAAAGCCTCCAGTTGTGCTCTGAGCAGCTTCGTAGGACTGAGACTGCAGGGTGTGAAGAATCTCCTTATGGTCTCCCCTGGCCTAGGGCCACAGTCCTGTCTCCTCAAGGCTCTCAGAACCATGGACTGTAAGGACAGCCTTTCATTAGCTAGAAGCAGGTCTGTCTTAGTGGTAAGGGCCCATGTACTCACAACATGTGCCAAGAAGAGTCTGTGCCATGTGGTGGTCCAAGGTCCAGGACTCCCTGGGAGAAAGGGACTGGACTTTGGGACCTGCCTGAGCCAGTGAGGACCAGCCTAGGGGAGTGAGAAGGGGACACAGGGTTGTGTCTGAAAATAAGAATTTGCTCGGCCGCGGGGTCAGTGCTGGCAGCCAGTCCCTGGTGTCTAGGAAGACAGAGATAGGGGCTGGAAGTTGTTCTCATCCTGACCTGCTGTGACCACAAGGAGCAGCTGTTTGTGCCCTGACCCCTGGCCTCTATTGCAGCTAGAGGCTTGGAGATGGCTTGTGTCCCACAGACTCTCCACAACTCACTTTGCTCAGAAGAGGGCAAGGTAGGGGCAGCCAGGGTTGCAACATCACAGAGCCCATGTTATACTGCAATGGCATGTGGGGTCAGATAGTACCGAGCTTGGCCTGTCCCAAGGCCACTGACCACACTGCATGGCAGTGGGAGGTACCTATCTGAGTGTCTCAGTTGGAGGTTCAGACTCTCATTGGAACATGCCACAACACAGGATGGAAACAAAGCCAGACTCATGTTGCTTAATGTTGCATTAAAAGTCTCAGTACCTTTGTGAAAACCAAGTCTCACAATGTAGTGGTGAGTATTTGTGGGTGCTGCATGTGACCCATCTACTCTGCCTCCAGGTAAAGGCCGGCGAGTGCAGCCTCAGTGGTCCCCTCCAGCTGGGACTGAGCCATGCAAGCTCCGCCTATACAACAGCCTCACACGGAACAAGGTAAGGAAGGTTAGGTGGCATGGGTGTTTACATGCACTGAGAGATCAAGGCATCCTCTGCCCCTGCAAAAACCAATGTTGTCTGTTCACTGTGGGCTCCAGGATCCCCTCAGAACATATTCAGGATCCTTCTGTTACTTCCTGTGTTGTGGCCTCTAACCCAGGCAGAGCTGTTCTCTGAAATACCTAACAGCATGCATGAAGCCTCCTGGAAGCCTGCCTACTAGCGCTGGGTGTGAATTGCCCTGTTGGTCTCCTGGCTGTGCCTGAGGCTCAGTGCTCAGGTCACTCAGCTGGGCCAAGTGCTGGCATGCTCTCAGGACACATGGGTGCAGCAGGCATTGCCACAAGCCAAACAGAATGGGTACAGGTAAACCTGCCAGGTGTTCTTGGAGCCCAGAAGAGAAAGCAAGTCTGGCTGCTCACCAGATGGGCTCTGCTTGGTCTCTTCTGCTCAGACTGGCCAGTGGCTCTAGAGGTTTCTAGTCCAAATAGGTTGGATTACTTTTAATCAGCCAGGTGCCTAACCATATGGGAGACATGTATGGGGCAGTTCATTGTATGGAATTCGTTTGTCACGACTACCCCAAGAGCTCTGAGAGTGTTGGATTGTCTGGTCTCCAAGCTAAACTCCCCCTGGAGGGGCACACCCTGGCCACCTGCTTTCAGCTTCTGTGTTTGTTTGTTTTTGGTTTTGTTTTTTTGAGACAGTGTCTCACTATATAGTTGAGACAGACCTGGAACTCACTATGTAGCCCAGGCTGGTCTCGAACTCGAAGCAATCCTCCTACCTCAGCCTCCCAAGTGCTGGGATTACAGGTGTGAGCCACCATGCCCGGCCGTCAACCTCTCTTTCCCGCAGAAGAAAGTAGCAGTGCTGGCCCCTAAGGAACTTGAGTGCTTCACAGGGGGCAATAACTGTTAGCTGTGGTTGTTAAATAAACAGCATTTCCACAAGACAAAGAAGGGTTATCCCTTTACCAAGACTCTTCACAGAACATCAGGATCCCAAGGAGGAAGGGGCTCGAGCTGCCAGCTCTCAGTAGACAGCTCCCTGGGCCCCTGCCAGACCACTGACTTCTTCGATGAAATAAAACGGTTCTTGTTGAACCTGTTTGTGCAAAACAAAACAAACCAGGGTGACGCCCATTGCTGCTTTTGGTGCTCCTGTACAGTGTTTCTGGAATTTCTTGTGATTGTCATTCCTTTGTTTTTAACAAGGATGTGTTCATACCTCAAGATGGGAAAAAGGTGACATGGTACTGCTGTGGGCCGACCGTGTACGATGCATCTCACATGGGACACGCCAGGTAGGACCTAAAGTGCTGAGCGGTCTGCACTCACTACAGGAAGGTGAAGACAACCAGAAAGGAAAAATGACCCACAACCCCGGCCTACCATCCCCAACATCTGCCATCTCTCCAGCTCTCAGGGTCCCTGGGAGCCAAGTTGCCCTGACATGCCTGAGGCTGTCTGGGCTCTGACCCTCATGTAGGTGCTGTGGGTGTGGCTCGCTGAGAGTAGATGGCTTTTGGGGTAGAGGCCACAGAACCCTTTTATAGTGTAGGTTGAGTTTCCCTCACCTGAAATGCCTGGGGCCAAAAGTGTTTTGGACTTTATTTTTTTCTGATTTGGAATATTTGCAGTATTTCAAATATTTTCATGTGCATTTTATGTATACCTTATATGGAGGCTGCAAGCTATTTTATACAATATTTTTAACAATTTTGTGTATGAAACAAAGACTCGTGGTGTAGGATTTTTGACTTCTGACATCATGAGGACACTCAAAAAAACTTGGGATTTTTAGCTAAGTGTGGTAGATTACTTCCAGTAATCTGTCACCCTGACTGCTTGAGAGGCTGAGGCAGGAAAACCGTGAGTTTAAGGCCAACTTGGGCAATTTAGCAAGACTATCTCAAACATTTTTTTCTTTTCAGTACTAGGGGTTGGACCTAAAACTATCAACTTGAATTTCATCCCCAAGCCTTTTTTATTTATATACACACACACAGGTTTTTTTGTGGGTGGTGTTTTTGGGGGGTTTGTTTGGTTTGCTTTTTTGGGACAGGGTCTTAATGTGTAATTGAGACTGGCCTTGAACTCACTATGTAGCCTAAGCTGGCCTTGAACTCGAGGTGATCTTGCCTCAGCCTCCTAAGTGCTGGGATTACAGGCATGTACACCATGCCTGGCTTTATTTTATATTTTGATACGTGCTCTTGCTAAATTGCTGTGTTGCCCAGGCTTGGATTGAACTTTTGGTCCTGCATCAGCCTCCCAGAGTGCATGCTCCACCTCACACAGCTTTCAAAATAACATTTTTAAAAGGGATGGTGTAGTAGTAGGTCCTGGATTCATTCCTCAGTATGAACAGACAAAACAAAACACACACACCTTGGGTGCATTGTGGGTTTTAAGATTAGGGATGCCCTGCCTACGAATGTCATAGTTGCAGTGCCTAGCTTGAATATACAATGTATGCTGATTACAAATGTATTCTTTCATTGCTTTAGATCCTACATCTCTTTTGATATCTTGAGAAGAGTGTTAAAGGATTATTTCCAGTATGACATCTTTTACTGTATGAACATCACAGACATTGATGATAAGGTAAAAAAAAAAAAAAGGACTGTTCCACATTAAAATTAAAATAGGAGCCAGACATGGTGGTGCATGCCTATAATCCCAGCGCTTGGAAGGCTGAGGCACGAGGATTGCCACAAGTATGAGACCATCTTGAACTACACAGCAAGACCCTGTCTCAAAAAAATCAAAATATAGCTAATTGATTAAATAAATACAAGTGGATGCTGTGTGTGGAGATAGGACTTTTAGAGGAGTGGATAAAATGTCATAGACTTGAGCTAGCTCAGTGCTGACTTATAAACATCATATGAATGTCCTCAATGAAGTGGTTTTACAGTTTATAAAAATGTAGAGTCATTTGCACGTAGATATTCAGCCAAGGCTGAACCTCCCAGGAGGCACCTGGAGAGAGGACTGTTTCGTCCAGATAGTCCTTCGTTAGTGAGTTGATTAATTGCCCAATAGGATCAACACACACAGAGTTAATCGTCAGCATCAGAGCATGAGAGCTGGAGCTTTAGTTCCAGAGCTCAAGAGCTGCATGTCTATTCCTTCAGCAAAAACAGCAGTTACAGCTACACAGCAAACACAGCTACTAAAAGGTTACAGTGTTCTTTAGTTTGTAGCAGTTATAGTGTCTTATCTGCTTACCAGGACATGGAGAGACAAAACACCTGCTGAACAGCCTTGGCCATACTGCGGGCACGCATGCGTGGTTGAGTATGTTAAGTCATTTTTGATAACTGTGGCCTATTATGTGCATGTCCCTGAGAGCGGAGTTGTATCCTCAGATGCCCTCAGACACTGGAGCTTTGAGTACAGGCAGAAGTAGTACCGTGCAGTAGATGCCTAGAAACTCAGACACGCAAGGACTACATTGGTTAAGTGTCCATTCCCTTGAGGCCTTAGGAAGCAAGGCCAGCTCTGTGCAGCTCTGCAGGGAAGCTGGCCCTGGGCCTGTTCCTTAGGCATCCAGAAGTTCAAAGTAGACCTCAGCCCTGCTGGGCAGGTGGGAGATAGAGGGCAGTGTTGGTATTCTGTGGAGCTACCCAGGTTTGGGCCTGTGGCTGCCCCCACACCACCCTCATCCCCACTCAGTTGCTCAGGCGAGAGCAACATGGCGCATATGGTTGGTTGGGAGTGGCCCTGAGCATGGCTTGGTCTCCTCCCTCTGCAGATCATCAGGAGGGCCCGACAGAACTATCTGTTTGAGCAGTATCGGAATCAGAAGCCCCTGGCCACCCAGCTCCTGGAGGATGTTCACGCTGCCCTGAAGGTGAGCCCTCACCTCTGCTCTGGACACTGTACCATTGTAACCTTTGTCTCTGCTCATGGATTCCAGTCACTGTCTGAAAGGTGGTTTCATTGTCTACTGGGTGACCTGTCTAGGCAGATCCTCACAAAGCAGTACCCAGGCTGATTCCACCTTTATAGGTGTGAGAAAGTCACCAGGACACATAAGTAAGGACACGGTGTAGAGTAGGTGTCATTCCTGCCATTTACAGGAAATGTCTGATCTGTCTCCATGCCACTAATCTCAGCTCTTAAAAATGCTTCACTGTATGAGTTTCCAGTCAACCAGTCTGATAATCACTTCTAAACCTAAAGCAGAAGCTATACTAAGCTTCTTAAAACCGTTATTATATTCACAGTACTGTAAATTTTCAGGACTGTTAAAGAAATTAGTTCTCTCCAATTTAGTAATTTCATTCCAAATAAGCATTATAATGTGTAGTTCTTTGTATTACATAGTATGACTGTAATAAGTCACTTCATTCTCTGTACTAGTTACCTTTAGTAACTACTGGTATGTTTGCAATATTTTATCTCTGGAAGAAAGAAGATATATGAAATTAAATCAAGCCCACGGGGCTTTCTGGATACACCACCTTGCTTTATCCTCAAAGTAGCCTAGCAGCACTGCTGTCACTTCCATTTTGCATGGGTGAACCAGGCTTAGCACGTTAGTTTGTAGCCTACCCAGTCACATTGGAGATGGGCAATTCCAGGACTGCGGTAGGCTGGGGGCTCGGGTCTCTTCTACCTTGAGTCAGCTCCATGAGCCAGGTTTCTGTGCAGTGTCTAACAGGTGTGATATGCCCTTGTGGTTGTAGCCGTTTACAGTGAAGTTACATGAGACCACGGATCCAGACAAGAGGCAGATGCTAGAGCGGATCCAGCATGCGGTGGAGCTGGCCACAGAGCCCCTTGAGCGAGCTGTGCACGCCAGCCTTGTCAGGGAGGAAGTGGACAGTCTTGCCCAGGTGAGACCTTCGTGCATCCTGTGGCCCTCCTGTGTAGGACAGCATGCTCTGCCCTGGAGTGTTTGCATCTTGCGGTTAAATGCCCTGACCCACAGCTCTGTAACTCCTCAGTGACTGGTAACTCCAGTGTTCTTCAGGGGCCTCGTCAGTGTCCCCTGCTATTCCTAACTCTGTAGCCCCATTTCCTAGGTGCAAAGCTCAAGCCACTACAGTGGGACCCTGGGATCCTCCTGGATCCCACATTGATGCTACTTCTGCCACTCTCACTTGGAATGAGAGCAGCAGCCTTCGGGTAAAATTAATTATTCCAATGGATCCAGGTGTTTCTTAGTGGCAGCTGGAGAAAGAGGTTCCAGGGTTGAAGTTGAGCAGCTAGCTCATGGGTACCTGCAGCCCTGGGCTGTCTCACTAGCCTGTTCTCTGGCTGCTGAAGATGTCCTTCAGACATGGACAGGGTGCTCAGCCCTATTGCTCCAGACCTTGGCAGCCACCAATCTAAACACACTGGAGGGCCCATCTCCTTTCTACCAGTGTCCCCTGCTGGCCACCTGTAAACTCAATGGAGGTAAATTGAGCTTACCTGTTAGGAAACACTTAAGAGATCACCCCAACTCCGGGACATAGCCACATCAACCCACTCAGAGTCCTGTGTCTACTACCTCTCCTTGTCTCCTGTGCCCCTGCCTCAGTCTGCCATTCTGTCTTTCATTCTCATTTTTCTTTTTAGTTTTATCTCTTCTGGGTTTCCACACAGCAGATCAGCTGGTGTTTCTGAGCCTTCTGAAAACTAGTCTGCGCGCACAGTCTTGGGACATTGTGCTTCATGTGGGCCTCGTTCCTGAGACAGGCTTTGCACAGTCACTGTTCCTCCTCCACTGTGTGCCTTGGGCTGAGCTGCTCACCTGTGCTTCTGGTCCCTGCTGTCAGGCTTCCTTGTCACCAACAAGTCTGCCTTCCATAACCTTTTCCCCAGTTGTTTCTCTGCTGTCCTTCTTTTTGTTTCTGGGGTTTTTGTTTTGTTTTGGTACTGGGGATCAAACACAGGACCTTGGGCTTTTGAGGCAGGCAGCGGCACCACTGAGCTAAATCCCTGACCCTCTACTATCCTTGTTTAAAGAAATTATGGTGAAACACACACAACATGAAAGTTAGCATTTTAACCATTTCTGAGGCATTACGCAATTCACATTGTTATGCAGCCATCTCTACCATCCATCTCCAGACCTATTTTATTTTCCCAAAACATTCCAAGCTCAAGGCTTCTGAATCAGGGCAAGATATTCTAGCTCTGTCATCCCCTGGCAGCAGAAAGGGCAGGAGAGTGCGTTGCAGGCAAGAGAATTAACTGTTCCTCTCAAAGTTAAACACCTGCAGTTATGCCCCACCTTCTAGGACTATTGCATTAGGAATTAAGTTCTCAGCACATGATTCTTACAGACTATAGCAGGCAAGCTTTGTTAGGAAAAACATAATGTTTTGAAATATTTCAGGATGTCACTGCTCCCAGCCAGTCATAGTGGCACATACTTCTTATCCCAGTATTCAGAGGCTGAAGCAAGAGGATCACAAGTTCAAGCCAGCCTGGGCAACTTAGTGACCCTGTCTCAAAAAAAAGAAAGGTTATAGGGCCAGAGATTTAACTCAGTGGTTCTGCCCCTTGCCTCACAAGTGCAAGGTCCTGAGTTCAATCCTGATACCAAAAAAATAAATAAAACTAAAAATTATCTCCATAAAACTGCTCCCTGGTGACAAAAAGATTGGGGACCCCTGCTCTAAACCAACACTTCCTGAACATCTGTGGGCATCACAATTTGTTAGATGCACACTTTTGGTCCCCAGAGAGCTCTTGGGTATGTCTGGGCCAGGCTGGGGTCCTCTCACTCTGCAGCTCCCAAGGGTGCCACACTCTGGGGCTTCAGGTCACACCTTGGTGGGTGTGATGTGATATGCTTTGTGTAGACCAGATTTTGATGTTGCCTGATCTGTCCTGGGCGAAATTCCATGGAGCGCTTGAGGGGGAAGGGCCTCCCTGTCTCCTGTGGGGTGGCTGCATGTGTGACCAACAGCTACATTGTCGTCATCTTTTCCTCAGGTGAGTCCCAGAAGCTAGCTCTATTTTAGAAGTAGTGATGGGAAATTCAACTTTGATTATCTAGAAATGTGCACATTTCACTGTTTTTTAGTGTTGGTTTTGTGGGGAATCAACTTGGGGGCTTGGCCCTTTGCTCAGAGCACTTTGGGGCCACTCTGCTATCTGCTGCCTCCCATTGTTGGCAGTTGCAGGGGACAGTAGGCTGCCCTTCAAATCACTTTTCTGTTTCTTCTGACTGACTCCTGAAAAAGATATTTATTTTCTTCCTTCCCCTCCCTCCTTCCCTCTCTCTCTCTCTCTCTCTCTCTCTCTCTCTCTGTCTTTCTGTCTTTCTACTACTTTCTGCCATTTCACTAGGTCATTCTAAGAGATTTGGGGGGGTGGGGTCTGGTCTGATGTTTCTTGGGCTTCCCAGTCTGTGGACTGTGTATCCATTCTGAGTTTTTCCATTCTGATGTCCTCAGGCATCTCTCTCCTCCTTTCCCTCTCTTTCCTTCTGGGATTCCTGTTGGATGTGAGGCCCAGCTTATCACCACTACCGCCAGACTCCTTATATCTTTCCTTGTATCTTTCTGGCCTTTGCTTTGTCTTCATTGTGGATGACTTCTACAGTTCTGTCCTCTGCTCAGTGATTCCTCCTTCAGCTGCCTTCACCTATCCTGAGTGTTTTTATTTCAGCAGTTGATCAACTTCATCTTCATTTGTTTCTCTTTTGAAGTCTGCCTGACCATTTTGATATAGTGTCTTACAGCTTGCTACCTCTCACCACTCTGATTCCATCTTTGTTTCTCTGAACATTTGGCCTTGCTGTTTTTCCTGTGTGTCTTACAGCTCTCACATTAGAAGCCTTGCAAGGTGTTGTCTCTGCAAACTCTTTTCACAGTTGCTCGTCCTTAGGCATATGGTAACCTTAACTAGGATTTCACTGTTGCTAGGTCATAGTCTGGGAGTCCTGAGGGCCAGGGCACATCCATTCAGGGCCACCCCTTGGAGGTTTCTGTCTGTGCCTACAGTTGGGGCAGGCCCTGTGAATGCTTTCCAGGCAGTGATGGACAGACAGCCTCTGCCTCCCTGTGGTGCATGCTGTGCCTTTTCTGCTTATCTTCCCTGGGACTTCACCACAGTGGAGAGCGGGACCAGAGCATCCTATGTGCCTGCCTTGCCAGTCACAAGTGCAGCCACGCTTTAGCCAGTTGTGCTGTGTTGTCTAAGAACTGTTGCCAGGGCATGCTTCATAGCCTAGCCATGCAGTACTCCTTTCCCCTTCTTGTCAGCATGGTGGGTGCTCTGTCCACCCCATGTGTCCTCGCTGTCTGTTGCATTATCTTCCTGCACTTTCTCACCCTTCATTCCTCCTGCTCACTCAATACACCGCCTATGTGGCCCCACATGCCTGTTACTGCTCAAATTAAGCTAAAAATGATAGGTTCCTCCAAGGGAGCTTGAGGACAGGTGTTTCTCCAGTCTGATGAACTTGAGTTGGAATGTGTTGCTTACCCCCAGTAGATGTGGTCATTGGGTCAAGGGACATGGAGCACACTCAGGGGGCACTGTTGAAGTAAGCTGGTCATGTAAGCATCACTGTTTCCCCGGAGATGGTGGAACACAGTTGTGTATGTCTTTGAGTCAGGGCCCTGATTGGCTCACACCACCTGCATTACCTGGGTGTGCTCATGTGAAACTTAGTTGCATTGGGTGTTCTATTTCTTTTCCTTTAGGTATTGATGGAAGAGGCCAAGGACTTGCTTTCTGACTGGTTAGATTCCACATGCGGCAGCGAGGTGACTGACAATTCCATTTTCTCCAAACTACCCAAGTTCTGGGAAGAAGAATTCCACAAAGATATGGAAGCACTGAACGTGAGTGTCCTGGATTGTCTCACTCCTGCTCCCAGGTCCCAAACCTTGGTTTCCACCTTCCTGTTCTGGTAAAGCCAGAAGCCCTTGTATGAACCATAGCCTCTTCATTCTACATGCTCGATTAAGTGGCTGAATCAATGTTGAACTTAAACAAGGGAGAGAGGGGCTTTTTTTTTTTTTTAATGTAAAATCTTTACCTTCATTGTCCCCATGCCTAGCACACATGGATGCCCAGAAGATAAATCAGAACTCTGAGGGTGGAAGACTATTTTGCAAGGCAAGTCCTTGTTAGAAACATCATTATTGTTTCCAGAAGCCTCTGGTAGGGAGGAGGAAATAAAAGGCTGGGAGGCTATTCACAGACCCCCAAGCATCCTTGGGGCCCCTTCCCTGCATGTCAGACAGGGAAGGAGCAGCTCTTTCTATAAATTAATCTTGGGATAGCTGTGCTGAGATAGAGCTTGTGATTCATATAGACAAGAGAACCAAGACTCAGCTGAAGGCAGTAGCCCAGGGTCACAGATAGCTAGGGGGACAGGAACTCTCTTATGACCTATCCTAGAGCAGCCTAGTAGTCAGTATATGGGGAGCTCATACTGCCCAGGCTTGGAATAATAACTTATTCCTCAGACCATGCAGACTTCTTGTTTTGTAAATTGGTGACATCATTTTCATGGAGCATGTCTATAGAAAGCAGAAAGTTCAGAGAGACAATGCTGAGCTTCTCCTTTGTTCCTGCCAGGTTCTCCCTCCTGATGTCTTAACCCGGGTCAGCGAGTATGTGCCAGAAATTGTGGACTTTGTCCAAAAGATTGTGGACAACGGTTATGGGTAAGCGCAGGTCAGGGCCCTCCTTCAGCCTCTTACTACTCTGGGGGAGCAGCTCTCCAGCCTCAGGTCCAGAAAGCAGGGGTACTTGTGCTCTGGGGTCACTGGCTAGGTTGACCACACCTTCGTGCTCACCCACAGCAAGTGCTTTGCTTTGTTCTTAGCTCCTGGTGGTATTGCTTTTGTTTTAAGATTATTTTTAAATGGGCCAGAGATTTAACTCAGTGGTGCCACCGCCTGCCTCACAAGCACAAGGTCCCAAGCTCGATCCCCAGTAACCCCCCAAAAAATTGTTTTAAAACAAAGCCCTTGGGTTTTTCATTTCAAAGTAGTTGCCATTGTAATAGGTATTTAATCATAACGATGCCACCATGCTGCTCAGGTAGGAAGCAAAAGGGAGCAGGTGACCCACATCCCAGCCTATCTCAAAGACCCTAACAGTTGTCTTCTTGCAGCTCTGGCTGAGGAGCCTTGTGTCTGACTGATCAGCACCACCAGATGGGCCTAGGACCCTGTGAGGATCCACTGGATCCTAGTTCTAGGGAACTAGGCAGTTAAGGCCGTGGATAATAGTCCCAGATCAGCATGACGGTGAACACAGACACTATGGGGCCTTTGGAGACATCAGCACCACTCAGACACTCTAAGATTGTCCTGGTTTGTTGTCACAAATGTGAGTGCATTTCTTCAGTTCCTGCTGGCTGTGATTTTAGTGCACACAGCACCCTATACTGGGTGTCCACTCCAGCACAACCACAAGAAATACTTCTCTGCACCTTGGAAGTTAGTGTTTACAAAAAGAGCCCCTGGTGGAAGTATTGCCAGATCTTGGTGTCTTTAGGCAGCACTCAGCCCCTTCTGGCTCCAGCCTACTCAAGGAGAGCCACCCTGTTTGCCAGCGGGAGCCCTGGGCCCAGCTTCGGGTTGCTTCTATCTAGCTGCACAGACCAGATGAAGGAGTAAGGACTGTGTGCTTGGTGCCTGCATTAGCAATAACTCTTAAAGGGTCGGTGCTGCCCCTCTCCGCTCTTAACCCGGATCACTGCAGGGCAGCATGAGATTGTGGCCAGCTGAGTGACATGGGCAAGCCTGGGTCAGGAGACCTGAAGGCTTCTGGAGAGTCGTGGCAGGGCCACACTGGGCAGTGTCGTCACCAGATAAGGCCAGGCTAGAACTGTGAGGCCACAGGAGACAAGGCAGGGCATGCTGCCAGGCAGTAAGGAGGCCACCTCCACTGTAGGAGGTGTCTCCCTTGCTCCACTCAGCCCACACAGCTGCTGTGGCTCCAAAACATCCACAGGGAGACCAGAAGAGAGGATCGGGTAGACCTTGTACCTTGTGACTCGTTAGACCCCAGAGATTTTCAGACCCCAATTTTGGGGAGTGTCTGGATCTGTTAGATATCCCGATTCCTCTTTTATCTTCCAGCTATGTGTCAAATGGGTCTGTCTACTTTGACACAGTGAAGTTTGCTGCCAGTGAGAAACACTCCTATGGGAAGCTGGTCCCCGAAGCTGTTGGGGACCAGAAAGCTCTTCAGGAAGGGGAAGGTAAGCACAAAACAGAATGCATGAGTGAGGAATCCACTGTCCACAAGGCCTGAGCAGGGTTTACCTCAACAGCTACCATGGGTGTCCTAAGCCCATTGCTGGCATTCACTGAGAACAGTGTTTCTCCTGAGGGAATTTAAGAAATTTTCTACATAAGGAGATAAAGTACATTGCTTCCTAAGAAACAAAGAAATGCGAGACCACTGTGCATCCTGCCAGGCACAGTACCCTGGGGTGTTGATTCTCGGGGGTGGTGTAACTGTATGTGGAAGATTAGGGTAGCCTGGGGGACTCGAGTGTGTGCAGAGTGATGCATATTTAGTAATCTTGATCCAGATAGTTTACACATAGAATTAAACTTTTTGTAGACTGGGCAGAGTCACATTTGAAACTTTCATAAGCATTTTCTCTGTACTTTTCCCAAGAATGAGGATGGAGATATCCCTGTAGAGTCCAATGTTGGAGATACCCACATTCCCTACAGAGTAGGGATCGCTGTCACATCAGACACATTTTCCTCCTGCTCCCATGTTTCTCAGAGGCAGTTTGGCTATTAAAATTACATTTGGATCTAGTACTTTCACCTTTAGGGCTGGTTTTTGGGTTTTTTTTGTTTTGTTTTGTTTTGGTACCAGGGATCAAACTTAGTAGGACCTTGTGCTTTAAAGGCAGGTGGTGGAACCATTGAGCTAATTCGCCAGCCCAGGGGCTGTATTTTTAAAAGTCAGAATTTACCATCAAACAAGATTACACAGATCCACTAGAAAAAGCCTGAGCCAGCTTAACCACAGAAATGTTAGTGGAGTTTAAGATTACAGACTTCATTTGTAGGTATAAAACAGGTGAGTTCATGATATATCACCTGTC